GTCCTCCCATACGGACTATAGAAATTTGGCGCATGCGCACAACATGATAAAATGTCAGCTTGCTATCGTTGAAACAAGAACTCAACGGGTTTCAGGCCCATTAATATCTAAATGTATGATCACCAAAATATGACAGTTACGTGTATGTATAGGGAAATTATCTGGGAGTACATTGATATCGACTTTTCAGTCAAAAACCCACAGGAAATATATTTAACCCATTCAACACCGCAGGCCGCTTAAGCGGCCACAACGTTATGAGTCCCCAGACACCGGAGGCCGATTAAGCGGCCAGGCAGTAGTCACGTCAAAATGAGACATAATTTTAGGAACCTACCTGACTTATGATTCATATATTAAATCTATCACATTTCACAATGTCTGAAAGCACTTATTAAATTTCAATTTATCATATATTATCAGCTGAATTAAAATTATAAACTATTTTTCGCAATGAAAACAACGATTCTCGGACACATGCTTCGGCAGTGGGTCCACAATAACATTGTCAAAGAGCAAAGTAACGATGTTTCGAGGAAATCATTAAATAAATTGAATAAACTAATGAATAAAATCAACAACAACATTCATAAAAGTTGTCAAACGTTACACATAAAATTACTATTTCCATCTTTTTGTGCGATCATGTAATGTAAGTCAAGTCATTGACAAGTGACATCTCGGCTCTCGCCGCCTCAATTTTCACGCTCGGACACGATGTTTAATGCAAAAATATATGCATGAAGCATTTTTGTCACAGGCCATAACCTAGCACGATACGTCCAATAAGTTCCATAATTTACATATAGGTAGCGATTTCTTGCTTAATATGTTCAAAATAGCATTATATTACCCAAACCTTTCGCCTAAATCTAAAAGTTTTCGTTTACGAGGACGGTATCCATTGCCGTAATATGATTGGCTGCCTTAGGTCACGTGTCTGATTTTGACCAATCACGACTCTTACAGCAGACTGTAGCGAAAAAGCGTCATTAGAAACCAATTTTTATCCAATAAAATCGCTTCTTACAACTCTGAAAATACTCTCGGCAAGGGTTCAGTGATGTTGTTGATGTTCAGAGCTTTAGAACGATACCCGACATCAAACGATTCGCCTCCCATGTTATTCATACGAAGCTTCGAAAATGGAGGTATTTTCCGTTGTTATGTCATGTTACCGAGCGGAAAGCCACAGATATCGGGAAATAGGCGACCATACATATTATTTAAGAAATCTTTTTATAATAATTTTCTGATGACGTAAAAATGAAAATATAAAAGAAAAAGGCACGGGGATGTTATGACATGTCACAAATGGAAAAAAATCGCCACAGTTTTTGCTTCTTTCATGGTTTATCTGGACGTTATAAATGTAAGCTTGCATTTTCATTCAAAAATTATTTTATTTAAGTTGTAGTTGTATTATTTGAATAATATTAAAAAATAAACTTCATATTTTTCAACAGTAGGATTAGATCTTTTAAATGGTGTATGGGATGTAGTAGCAATAACGTTTTACAAGCTTATAATTTCCTTCATAAACATAGGCTTCATCTATGACCTCAGAGTCTCTGGGAACTCGGTGTCATGGCAGTAAATGCCTCTGGTTGACTGGTGTTGAAAGAGTTAAACAGCATTAAAATTGGTACACATAAACCCTAGAGGGTACAAATACATAAATCACTAACTGGCATCGTTATAAATGAAACCCGTCATTAAAACTACTCATTTAAATGACCTTTAATTCATTTCGACCTTTAATTGACTTAAATCGACCTTTTGACAACAGTGCACAATTCTCACCCATGAACGAAATTTCAACCAATCAGGAGGGCGCCTCTGTGACGTCATATGAGGAATAGCTTTGAGAGCCGATGCAGAATTCATCTACATTTTAGGGGGTAAATTATCGTGTTTACAGGCTTGTATAAACCTGAAATCGTGACAATTGTTGTGGAAAATGAAAGCTATATGTTCTCACAATCTACTGTCATTTAATTTTGTCTCCTGCTTTGCCTAGTTTCGAGTTACAACTTGTTTTCATAGGCGATTCTGTCAAAATCGATTGGTGTCGTTAGGCCCTATTTGTATAATGACTGATCCAAATTGATCCCATTTCTGTGTTGTTTTACCTCGATATTTAATCATGTCATGTAAAAATCTGTTTGTATTCTCAAAACAGTGTCGGCCCATAAGTTTTCACATGCAATACAGCAATTAATACTCCCTCGTTGTAACCCGTGTTAGGTGGTATAAACCTACACATGTTATTTGTCATCATTCACTTGATGGTCAGTTAATGAATTTATAACAGGTATAATTAGTGGTAACACACTTAGATTACCGACAAAGGTTCCCATTTGGCATTTCTTGTGTCTGGAGTAAATATTCAACATTATAAACATCGATCAAAGGATTAACCGATAACACGCTGATTGATTAATTACTTTTATCTTACACAGCGGAATTGTCAAAGGTAGTGTTTATGTATGTAGATTTACTAATCTATACTGAATACACTCTGTCGTGTGGGTGTCTGCGTAAAAACAACGTCCTTCTTTCAAAGGATTAACCCGGCAATACATTGATTGATTGCCCATTATTGGCTAACTAAATTACTGTTTTAAAGAAAGGCGGACATTATGCAATTAGTTGCCAGGTGTGCTATCTTGGGTGACCAATGAGACTATACACCAATACCTGAAAAGATTTATCACTTTTTCGTATATTAAACTGTTAAAAGACACATCATTTGGAACAGTTTTGTGGATATTGATGGATACATTCCTCGAACAAGGTAATGGACCTGATATTGTTCCTATAACTTTAATCTGTTTTAATTTTAATATTTGCATTTTGTTTTATTCATTTGTCGTAGCATTCAACAGAATCATTGTTTTCGCCGTGAAGTGTAATGAGACAGACAACATGCACTAGGGTGTGTGTGCGAATTATGATTCACATTGGCAAACTATAAAATGTCTAGATATTACAGTTCTGTTATAAATTCACTATAAGTATCAGCAGATCGTCTGCTTTTTATTTAGTTTCAAAATGCATACAAGTGTGATAATAAACTAATTAGGATTATAAGACCAAATATAAAGACGCACATTGACTAGTATCTACATACTGGTGAGTGGACATTAACCATGGGAATGTAGCAAGAAATTTATCGCGCAGTATTGTGACTTGACCCCACCTGCGGCTTCCGTGGAAGAAATCGTTATGTTATAAGTTGTGTCATGCAAAATCCGTTTGGTTATGATTCCAATACATATTTAACAACGAGTAGAAAGTAGTCTTGATTTTCTAACTTGATGAAAACAAACTATAATCTCATTAATTCTAACAGATTTTTTTATTTTTAAAAATGGCGGCGCCCTTTCGGGAACATCCGCCAGTCTGAGGATAAATGGTATTTAGGTTTGTTTTCACCGAGTTACAAAATCAAAACTACTTTCTACTGGTAGTAAAATATGTATTTTATTGATGGCCAATAGGATTTTGCATGACATATAATATATCATAACAATTTCTCTCGTGGCAGCGAGGTGGGTGTCAATATAATACTACTTACAATATTATTGTTACTTCGACCACAACCTCACTTCCGAGGAAGAAATCGTTATGTTACAAGTTGTGTCATAGAAAATCTTTATGGTCATCAATCATATGCATATTTTACTACAACTAGTAAGTAGTTTTGATTCTTTAACTTCCGTGAAGCGATCTGAACACAAGTAAGATATCGTTTCAGGCTTCCCTGCGCTTCGCCAGCACTCACAAACATAACCCATTTAGCACGCGAACTGCGGGGTCCTGTGGAAATCTGTGCATGGGGACACCATCGCCCGACCCTAGGAGCAATTGACGACAAAGCAGCGATTCGGCATGTCGCCGTTGATGTCGAGAAATCATCAAAATGATGGCGTGCTACACATTTTCTATACAACTAACTGAAAATCGTTCCTCATATGGCGTCACTGCAGTGCTCTGGGGCAGAGTTACGTAACCTGTCTGTGGTTTTTGGTTGGCGAGGGAAGGAAGCTTAATTTTTGGCCACTTTTAATTTATTAATTAACCACAAGTTTTTAAAGAATAAATTTGGTATTAATTAACCACAAGTTGGTTTAAAAAATAAATTTGGTGTTCTTTAAGAGTTCCAATGAAAGACTAACCACAATCAATCTGTTGAGCAGCATTTGTAATGGTTAGAAAGAGTAACAACAAAACAGAGAAATTCAACAAAATTGATTTAAGTTCAAACGGCATTAAAATTGGAAAAATAAATAAATAAAATACAAAATCAAAATATGAGATGCACGCCTTTAGTGTCCCTATAAAGCACATGTGTAATCTAAAAGAATTCCATAAAGTATTTTTTGAGGAGAAGTGGATAACGTACACCCCCTGTTGGATGGAACGAACACTGGCTGAATAGAACAAAATTCAACAATTAAGTTCAAACATCTGTAAAAGTGACAAAAGTAAGAAATTGCATAAAAAATTATGAAATGCACACCTTTAGAGTCCCTACAAAAGACATGTAGAAGTTCCCTTAATTCTGCTGAGCAGTTTTTGTGGAGAAGTGGATAGACTTCATCCCGTATTACACTATCATCATAGAGAAATTCAGCAAAATGTACCTAAGTTCAAACGTCTCTAAACTTACAAAAAAAACCAAGAAAATAAAAAAACAAAATATGAGATGCACACCATTAGAGTCCCAAGAAAGCCCATGTATAAGTTCATTGAATTCCACAGAGCGGTTATGGTGGAGAAGTGGATAGAATACATTCCCTGTTTCGTACGGACGGACTGACGGACGGCCACTAGAATCTGAAAAGGATCGGCCGTGGTGCAGGGTCATGTCTTGACTGTATAGGACCGCATCGCGGCTCTCGGCTAGGTCATGTCTTGACTGTATAGGACCGCATCGCGGCTCTCGGCTACGTCAGCGGCTATACTACACAAATTAAACGTTATTCCATACTTACATGACATGTGCTGATTCACCTTTGATAGCCAGAGTATCCATTTGAGAGACATTTTAGCGTAAATCACACTCCACAGGCGATAGATGCATGCCATTGGATATACGACAGGCGATCGATGCATGAAACCTCTAGATCGCTGATTTCTCGCTTGACATGGATATACTCAGCCACGAAAGTATTCGTTTTCGTTTTACAACTATATATCTCACCTTCTTAAAGCCCCTTTATTTGGCCTTATTAGGCCGTTTTGACCGCTTATTGGCCGATATCGCATTTCTGTCAGACGGAAGTTTACCATTCGTAACTACTCGGGTCATTCCGGCAAGCCGGATGGCGTCTCGTACCCCAATCTCCTACCCAGAGTTCCATGCGGGTAGCCAGCATAGTACCTCTGAGACAGGCCAGAAAAATGTGACGATTCGTCACATCTTGCACCGTCCATTCAATATAATGTACATATTTCTTAACTCTTGTATTTTTGACGAGCCTAAACATCTAATTAAATAACTTTGATAGAATGGCTTAGTTTCAAAATGAAATTGTTTCCTGTTTCCATGGCAACAGGTTTGACTTTTACCCTGTCCATTTATAATAATGGCTTGTAGCTGAGCTAAATAGAAATGTCATTTTATGTTTGATGACTATACGCCCGTTTTCAACTATCAAATATCAACAAATTTGTATATATATACCTTCACATGGCGATATACAATACATGATATGTTTATATAGACAGGGGCCATATAAATATGTACCTTCACATTATGATTTACGAAACATGATGTGTTTATGTAGACAGGGGCCATATAAATATATACCTTCACATGGCGATATAGAATACATGATATGTTTATAAATATAGACAGGGTCCATATAAATATATACCTTCACATGGCGATATACAATACATGATATGTTTATATAGACAGGGGCCATATAAATATATACCTTCACATGACGATTCACGAAACATGATATGTTTATGTAGACAGGGGCCATATAAATATATACCTTCACATGGCGATATACAATACATGATATGTTTATATAGACAGGGGCCATATAAATATATACCTTCACATGACGATTTACGAAACATGATATGTTTATGTAGACAGGGGCCATATAAATATATACCTTCACATGGTGATACGCCAAACATGATGTGTAGATGTAGATGGAGGTCATATATTTTTAAACTATCACGTGACACTGACTGACTCAATGAAAATAGCTACGGTAGCATGTTAATTCTTTCAAAATTAGAAACAATGCGGATATTTATTGATCTGACATATGTTAATATTTTTACCTCGTTTTTTTATGTGAATAGGAATGCAGAGAGCTGCTTCTGTAATGTGTCTGTCTTATATGACTACTTATTTAGTTGAGACTGAGAGCATTTCGTGGGTGTTAGCGTAGTGAGTGTAACACAGGTTATATATCTTTCTTAGTTGGATCACACAGGTCATAGTTATTAGGTTGTTGTTTTTCGAATCGGTGGTAATCTCTCTCTCTCTCTCTCTCTCTCTCTGTCTCTCTGTCTCTCTCTCTGTCTCTCTCTCTCTCTCGTTCTCTCTTTCTCTCTCTCTCTGTCTCTCGTTCTCTGTCTCTCTCTCTCTCTCTCTCTCTCTGTCTCTCTCTCTCTCTCTTACCCTCTCTCTCTCTCTCTCTCTCCTACCCTCTCTCTCCCACCTCTCTCTCTCTCCTACCCTCTCTCTCTGTAACAAAACATACACAATCATACAATCCATAATTTTCATTCAGCATTACATTACAGTGTATACAAATGAAGGAATGATTACTAAAGACATTTGCCTTACTCAGATATCCACTTCTAAATACAGTTAATACGTGTCTGTGCTCATGGGAACTAATGTTTAACAAATATTTTTCACAGTTAAGTAAAGACTTATTCGAATTATATAATGTGAGAGAATCACTCTGAAAATAATATCAGTTCTGATGAGCATATTCTTTAACACGTTGACTAAAGAGATACAAAAATGATAGTAAGAAGTTCCTTTCATTACCCTTGCCAAACATGAACTAGTAAAAAACAATTGTGTTAAATTTCAATAATACCACTGCAAATTTCCAAATATTTAATAAAGTATTGATAACTATGATAGGTCCATAATACAACGAACCTTGTTAATAAATTAGTATGTCATACAAAGAAGGTACCTATTTGTAGTAGCGTTGTAATGTTTCATATTTTCTAACAATCACGCCTTGCTTGATATAGCCTCAACCTATCGTTTCAATTTTAAGGTGAAGAAGAACGCCGTCCAGTCTCTGGTTAGTATGATAAGGTTTATATATTAAAAGCAGCTTTATGTTAATGCCCAAGGAATTTCTCCGAAGTTCCCATTGACATAGCCTGAAATATGGTGTGGGGAAATTATTATTTTATATAATAAGACCTGGTATTGGCCACACAGCGGACAGAACAATGGTTTACCTATATATAGACCATTCTTAGCCAATATGCATGACCTCGAGGTCAAATCGAAAGCGAGGCTTAAATAGGTTGACCCAACCTTGAAAATGGCGACCTCGAAAAGGAAAGATTACTGCTGTGTGCCTTTGCATTGGAGTGATGCCTGTAAGGATTTTACGGTATCTTTTCACCTTATTCCCAAGAATAAGATCAGAAGAAGGCAGTGGTTGACGAAAATGAGGAGAGATCCTGGAAAATGATTCATAGTAAGTACAAAATAATTACGGCACATGGCATAGTCTAGATCTGCCGTGTAATGTACAAACTGTTCACTATGCAAGGTTTTAATATCAGGGGCACATGTACAATGTGAATGTCACACACACACACAGACACATTCAAACCCACCCACCCCAGCCCCCACACATTGTCATGTTCAAAATCAGTGATCCCCCCAGTTCATATGTACACAATTGACCCTCCCCTGCCTCCCAAAACAAACTGGGAGACACCCCAACCCCCACAAACACCGCACCTAAAGTCATCATCATCCCCCTAGTCTTAAATTATGAACGGTCCAATATATTAAAAAAAAATTAAGCATATGGATATGTGCAGACACTCTTGTCATGATGGCAAGGGAGGTTTATTTGCAAATATTCTGTATCCGTGAAATTAGATTGGCTGCAAATCAAAGTAACATTTCAAGTACATATACATTTGTATATGCAGGACATACACATGCTGTTAAAAAAATCTTAAATATGTATCTACTTTCAAAATTACTGGATACTGACCATTACTTCAGGGATACAGGACATATTACTGGACAATCTAATTACACCAACTGAAATATATTTAGTGTTTAAATATCCATTTCAGATGCTGCTAATTAAGAGTCAGAGAGCATGTCACCAGCTCAGGAACCTCCCATAAGGAATCTACCACAGTCACCATCTCAGATACAGTAAGAATGTCAGATCGTATTAAGTTCATTTTGCCAACTGACATGGTTTTAAAGAATTTAATACAACTGAACTTTGACCTATATGCTATGTTATTTACATATAAAAATATTGATTGCCCATACTGTCTAAAATATGAAATGATGTTAGCAACTATTCCTTGATGTATATTTGTAATTCCAGAGATATATTTATTGTTTGTGTGGTCGAAGAGATAATAGTTATGCTTTACAATGCTTATATTACAGTGAATCAGAGAGTGATACAGCAGCCACTGACCCCAGTCCTACATAGAACAACTCCAGCAAAACTTACATGAACAGGGGAGGCAACTCAAGGAAAAGGTTGACAAAATAGAAAAATTGAACAGAAAACTTGAACTTGAAAAGTTTGGAGTTTGTAAATTCATGTATGATGATAAAAATTGATTGAACATTTTACAGTATTCCATCATTTCAAACATTGGCACTGATTAGCTGGAACTTTTTCATTTGTTGAATATCTTCCCAGGTTTTGTGAAGTACCTTGCCCAAACAGCACAAAAATTGACAGACATGAATGTAAATGAAATTGTTTGGTGCTTTTGTGTTGTGTAAATGATGGATGAAAAAAGAGACAGCTGTAATACATACACATTGATGGATTTAACTGAATAATAGAAAGGTCTTTCATAATGGCATAGTTGTAGATGTAACTCATTTGCTGCTGTTTAATTAATAATTGATGAAAAAGAATGTATTCATCCTGTTTGAAAAGAGTTAGTTGGGAATCAGAAAAAAAACAATCATTCATAGGTAAGAGATTATGATAATGTGTAAGGGGAGAAAACTATCATAAATTATGAATTGATCCAGCTGTAATTGTTGCCATTCATGTCAGACTAATCTAAAAGGATACTTCTCTCAACATAAATATTGCACCCAATATATTTTCAATTTGCATCCTCTGAAAATTTTATCGTTATTCATTAGTATTACAGTTGGAAGCTATTGTGAATGTGTTTATTGTTATTGGACTTTTAAGACACCATTTCAAAATATTTTTTTATTAACTGCACTCCAGGTGTTCGTTATTTATTTGGGTTAATTGTTTGCTGTAGTGTGAATCCTGTTATGTTAATCTGATAATATTTTCTCCTTAAAAATGTCTTCAGTTACAGTGGTACAGAATAAGTACACCTGATCTACAATAAATCAATTTTATGGTATAGTAACACAGTATTGAAAATTAGTTCAAATATTCCCCATGCAGGTCAATTTAGGTAAATTAATTATTCACCTCCAAATCAGTCAAGAAAGAACTTGAAAAAAATCATCCAGTTTTGTCTTGCACATTGTGTCCCACCAGAGACCATATAATAGATATGGTCTCTGGTCCCACTCATGTTGATTGAATAGTTTCTACATGATGATGTGGCGATTCGTTTTTCCTCTGCGATTGTAACATGTAGCTACGCGCACATCCCTATCACCACTAGTCCTGTACAACTGAAAATAAATGCGTGAATAAATACCCTATATCTATAAAACAGAGTCGATAGGACAAAACATTTTAAACAGAAAAAATACCAAACAAATAATTTCATCACATGAATAATACAAAAAATTTGTTTCGTCCAGATCCACTCGAGGAGAGCTATCTTGATCTACATATTA